GTGTGGACATGCAGGATGCCTACACACGTGCCACGCAAGTGTGTGGAGGTCAGGGCAGCACTTGGGAGAATTAGTTCTTTCTCGCCCTTCCGCCTCACGAGTCCTGAGGACTGAACTCCTGCCTCTTGGCGGTAGACTCCTTTGCCTGCTCGACCATCTTGCCAGCCCCATTTTCTCAAATTAAAACGTTACGTAAGAATTTATTTTACTTTACCCTTCCATTGAAGGTGGGCCCCTTACTGCTGTCTCTGACACGTCATTAGCCTCAGTGTTGCCCAGCCCGTTTTGCTCAGTAACGGTAAGAAAAGGTTGCTGTGGCACAATGCAGCCCCATTACTGTCTTTCTCGTAAAGCCCAGTCATGTTGCTGGTACACTTGCAGTCCTGTCCCATGCTCGACTGAAGGTCAGGTTTGACAGGTTTGCTCACCTCAGTGGCTTGCCCATCCTGAGTCATCCATTGCTTGACCTCCCAGAATGCTGGTGCTGTGACAGAGTAAGCTTTGAGGCCTATTCATCCTCCTCTCTCCCCTTCCCTCTCCACACCAGCTGTTTCCTCCCGAGTCCTTTTCCTTAAAGATCATCCCACAGCCCGAACGGCCCATTGCTCTCCCAGAATACCTCATTCTGACCTGAACACCTCACCCTGGTCCTCCCTTTCGGGTCTTTTCCCCTTGATAAGCAAAGCAATCAGGAGCATGGTTTCTACACACCCACACTGGTGCGTGCAGGAGGCTGCCCTGCCTGGGAGTGAGGGTCTCCCGTCCTCCCTGAGACAGTGCTCTGCAGGCTGCAGCTTCCTTTGGATTCACTCGGAGAGCCCAAGCCCCTGGACCGTGTCCTGAGCTTTCCTTCCTAGTCACCTGCAAGATCTTGCTTGTGTGGAATGTCCCCTCAGACACCACTGGGGACTGCCAGGCTGACAAATACTTAGCTAAAATCAGCTCTAGGGAATATAAAAAGGGAAAGTTGTGCATATACAATTTGACTCATTTTAGAAATCCAAAAGAATTACCACTTAAGTGGCCCTCAACTGAAGCTACACCGCTTACCTCCTGAATGTTGAACATAGTGTAAATGCCAGAAATTTCAAAACTGTCTCCTGTGGCTTGTAGAGTATGCCTATCATGAAGGTCTAACTGTAAGCCGTGCCCAATGAAACCTTTTCACACAGCCACAGGGGAGGAAAGCAGGCGGTGAATCCAGCCTTGTGGTCAGTTTGCGGCCCTGTGCTCTCCAGGAGCAGGTTGCAGTAGGAGGAGCCTTGTTTGTCACCGTCATGCTCTGGAGAACACTTGGCATTGAACCAAGAACTCGTTCATGTCAGCTTAGTCATGCTGAGGCACTTGCTGTCACACGTGGGGAGGGTGGATGCTGACGTGATGGGCATCATTCTGTGGGGCAGTTTCTAGCCTGCGTCCCTCTTTTGTAGCCAGTATTCACGGGGCCACCTGATGAGGCTGTGAGCCCTCGAAGCGTTCCTGCATCAGACAGACAGTCTCCTAAAGAGACTACTATTGTTCTTGACCGAAATAATTTTGAACAGTTGGAGATCACAAAACAGGTACTTTGCCAGGCGGTGACTGATGCCCTCAGGCCTTCAGCCTCCTCTTGTGAGATGTCCGGTAGAACACAGCCCCAGAGCGTGGCTTGACTTTCGTTTAAGTTTTAGATCAGGAACCGCCTGAGCCAGAGCCGTGTGAGTGTGTGTGTGTGTGTGTGTGTGTGTGTGTGTGTGTGTGTGTGTGTGTGTGTGTGTGTGTGTGTGTAGGGGTGTGTATGTGTGGGGTGTGTATGTGTGTGGTGTGATGTGGTGTGTGTGTCAGTGCATGTGTATGTATGCAGGGTGTGTGTGTGTGGTGTGTGTGCGTGCGCGCATATGCGCACCAGAGGGGTTGTTTCTACATGGCTAGCATAACTCGTCTGCCCAGCGTGCATTCTAAAACTCACTTTGAAGCCTCGTTCATTCTAATAAGAAAGGAAACTGTCTCCAGTGAAGTCTAGGGAAGCATTTTTTTAGACACTTGCTGTATTACAGGCAACAGTTTCTGATATCCTCAGACACTCGATGTTTATGTACATGAGGAAGAATGCAGACAAAAACTGCAAGCCATTGGTCGTTCTCGGGTTCATACTTCAGTGGTTGGAAGAGGCAAAAGGAAAGGTCCCACCTGAGAGGCCACTAGTTGCCACTGCTGAACACCCCTTCACTCTGGAAGGACAGCAAGCCATGCACAGAACATGCACGGGTCACGGGGCTCCCTTAGCAGTAGACTTCTGTTTGAAGTCTTGACTGGCAGCGCCTTCACCACAGCTCAGTCTCTTCTGTGCTGTGCACCGAGCCTTGACTGGGTGTGAGGTGTCAGAGAGGGAGCCAGCGCCAGCTCCTCAGCAAGCTCCATGTGTTTACATCTGCCTGATGTGGCTCTCCAGAAGCCGCACTCCAAAGCTACTTGAGATGATGGACTTGGAGAGTGTGTTCCTCAATGCTCGAGGCAGAGAGAGAACACCAGAGACTGCAAGCAGCCTCCGACACCAGGAGGTTCATCTTTCCCCTTTCAAACTCCAATGCAGATGCTAATCATGGCGTCACTGGAAGCCCCTCAGGACAGCTGCAGCCCCACAGGCCTAACCCTTGTTCTGCCAGGGATGTATCACACGCCCAGTGCTTTGGTGAAGACGGCACCATCCCGAAGAACCCAGCAGTCACCTTTGTCCATGGCTGTCCTCTTTGTGAACAAGCTCGGAAGCTGCTCTGCTCCTCCTGGGACTGGCCACACCACTCTTAGCTGCCCGTGGCCAGCTTGAACTGCACAGTACCACTCTTTCAGACCCCAGTGAGCATCAAGAAAGCTGTAGATGTAATGTTTTGAACATCCTGTTACCTTTACAAGGTTTTAATTTAGAAATTAAGCAGTCAAGATGTATTCCAGGTCTGTGTCAGCACGTGGAAAAAGCTGACTTGCTGAAAACCTAATGACATAGACACCAGGTGAGCCCTGCTGTCCTGTGGCCACTGTGCTGAGGCTCTTGTCAGAGAGCACCGCAATCCCCCTCTGCCTCAGGGGAACAGCGCTTTTTTTTTCATCGAGGTCAAGTAGATGAGGCTCTGGCTGTTCCCAGGCCAATCAGAATGCTACCACCCACTCAGTGTTCCTGAGATATCTGTGACCTGGCACCAAAGGCCAGATCACAAAGATGAGTTGTAGCACTGCCTGGCTCTTTCTGAGTACTTGGAGGAGTTGCCTTCCGTTCCTTCACCCGATTGGTCAAATGATCCTACCTTCTCAAAGTGTGCCTCTTTGTGCCCTTGAAGCAATGTAAAGGCATCATTCCCGTTTGACAGAGGTTCGCCCGGACTCAGGGAGGACCAAAGGCTGGGTGGCCTGGATCGAATATTTACTTGGCCTAGTTATGCAAGCACCAGACCACCTCCCTAGCTCAGGTCCCCCCAAAGTGGCCTTAGGGTCTCCAGGGAAGGCCTGCAGGGTTATTCACAGGCAGCCTCAGCAACCCAGGTTCCCCTGAAGAGTAATGTCCAGTCTCCTCTGGGCATCTCTGGACCTTTTGCCTGGGGCAGATGCATTCTGGGAACTCAACCTCCAGGCGCTCTGCTCTGCTCTGCCCCACAAAAGCCAGAATGCAGTGTGATCTGATTTCTGCAAACTCAGACTCACTTGTGTTAACAGTACATTGCTGTGCCTTAAACAGAAAGGGCTCTAGAACTCTGGTCACTCCTTGGCTCTTCAAGGTCAGTCACGTGAATGCCACTTAGGGACTTGGTGCACAGATATCCATCTCCAGTGACTTTGGAGCGGATGAGCCTTTGGTGGGCCATAAGGCCAGCTTCTCTAGTGGGGGTTCGTACCAGATGGTATGTACCCACACAGTTCATGTCACTGTCCTCTTCAGCTAAGGCAGTGGTCCTCAACCTTCCTAATGCTGTGACCCTTTAATACAGTTCCTCATGTTGTGATGACCCCCAACCGTAAAATTATTTTTGCTGCTGTTATGAATCGTAATGTAAATGTCTGTTTTCCGATGGCCTTAGGTGACCCCTGAAGGGGTCGAGACCACAGGTTGAGAACCACTGCCCTAAGAGGACACTGTCCAGTGTTGTAACTGATCCCTTCTGGGCCATCACCCCCATTTCCTCTCCTTTGTTTGCATCTGGCCTCTGTTGACTGCTCCTGAGCCATTCTCCAAAAACTGCTGGAGACACAGGAGAGCCAACCCAAAGCCCAGTGGGGTACGCCAGAGCCCCCAGGTTGGGCTCACCTGTAGGATGTGGCTCCTTAGTAGGGGTACCCACACAAGCTGAAACATGGTCGTTTTGTGAATGACCCTGCTCTCGTTTCTAGGACACATCCCAGTGACTGTTTTTGGGTATTTTCATAACATTTCGGTTTCAGAATTGGCTGAAGTCCATCAAAACTACTGGGTGCCATTTCAGCAAGACTGGGAACCCGAAGCTGTCCCCTCAGTGCCTTCCTGTCCCAGCACCTTCATCTTCACACTCCACGGTGCCCACGTCTCTTACGGTAACATCCTGCACTGGCATACTGTATCGGTTGATGCGGCTTGCCAACTTGACAGGATCTAGAATCTCCTCAGAGACGAGCCTCTGCTCTTGCCTGTGCAGGTAATCTCGATTATAGCAACCGTGGAGGGCAGACCCCTACTCCACGGGCTGGGGTCCTGAACTGAGCAGGACAGCGAGTGAGCGGGGCCAGAGCCAGCGTTCATCTCTTCTGCTTTCTGACTTGGACCGTGACTTCCCCACCGCCACAGACTTGTGACATTGATGATGTTCAGTATTCTGTTAGCCTGACAGGTCATTTGGGGGTGGCTCTCAATCACGTCCTGTGTGAATCTTGACTCAAGGCCCTAGCAGCTTTCCGTAGAGCGTAACTGGTGAGTGACTGCCATCTGGAATGCCCAAGCTGAGGGCTGAAGGGAGGTAGAACGTGTGTGTAAACACATGCCATGGACAACCCAGACAAACACTTTAATTGTTTTATTTGGAGGCGGAACCCAGTCGTCTGTCTAAAGCACTGTTCACTCTGTCTCTGGCAATCGAGGGTTAGAGAAGATGCAGCACCACAGCGTGACAGGGCCGTCTTCCCTTCCACCCCAGCCCCACGCTTCCCTGCAGCCCCACCGACCCCACTGTCACAGGGTCCCAAGTATGCACGCAACCATTCTCCTTTCCCACACACGTACACACAAAAACACGTGTGCAAATGAACAGACAACCAAACCCGGTCATTCATTCGTTCACACAGGGGAAAAGTTTTGAGAACGTCTTCTTTCCCCGTCCAGCGCTGAGACAAACTCTGAATAGAGAGGCTGTGGTTTCTGCTCATCCCAGCAAAGCTCCCCAGTCTCCACCACTGAACCCTAAGAAGACTAGGCAGACACCAACAGTTCCCCAAGGTTCCCTTTGGAGGGTGACATTCCCAGGTCAGTCTGTTTGTTTTTGTCTGTTGTCAATATTGCCGTAGGCAGAGCCCTTGTCAATTTCTGTCACGCCAATCATCCATCGAACTCCCATGGAAGCTGCAGAGACAGGACAAAGCAGTTAAGCCTCTGAAGACACTCCAGGGGCGCTTTGCAGACAGGAGGCCATTGGCTGCAAAATGCAAGTCAGTCTGGGGTACCATTTGACCAGTTTCGGAGCGTTCCTCTGGACATTAAAAGGCCAATGGCAGGGCTGCTCTGGAGGGAGGGGAAGGGAGGCGAGCCACCCTTGTAGAGTGGAGGTAAACAGAATTCTCCACTTTCCAGAGTGGAGATGGGGGGCCTTTGTGAGGATTCAGGCCAAGCCTAGGACCTGCAGGCCCCACAAACCTCATCATTGTTTGGGTTGATAGCAAAGAGCAAAATCACTGCCCTCACTGAAAGAAAGCCCTTGCTCTCTGAAACTGTGGCTGTCACAGAAGGCGCTGGACCCGTCGAGGAACTCACTCAGAAACTGCCATTTAAGCTAAGGAGTCACCTCTGGGGAGGGACTTGGTGAGCTCCTTGGGTGGCAGGCCACATGTTAACCCTGCAAGCACAGTTTCGGGTACAGTGGGTGAGCGAGCAGATGCAGCCCCCAAATATGGTGTATGTCAAGCAGCTTCAGCGTCATGTTCTCCATTTGGGATGCCACTCAAGACCGTGCAGCGGACAGGGAAGCCAGCCCGTGCAAATGAAGAGTTGTCTGTTCGGACGCCGGCTGAAACGCTGAGACATAAGCCCTGCCCCAATCCTGGCACTTGAGTGAAGTGCCTCGTTAGCAGGAGGCACAGTGATACCTTACAGGAGATGGTGAGAGGTGTGCACAGTGGTCCAAAGGCCTCAGGGAGGGGAGGGATACTGGACTATGGTGTCAACCAGGACACAGCCCTCAGTTCTGGAAACACTTCTACATGGCCACAGCACCCCAGGCTGAGTGTTCAGGCCACTGGGCACAGCTTTTCCCATCCCTCTACATCAGTAAGGCCTATAGCTCTCCCCATGGAGGGCATGGCCTCTGCTGGCCTTCCTGCTCTTGTAAGCAGAGGTGGAAGTGAATTTCTCCCTTGCCCCCAAAGCCCCGGTGCACGCAGACATGCCAGGGTGCTCACTGGTTACTAAGAGAAAAGAGTGTGCCTTCATGCTTGAGACGGCCCCCAGTGGGAGTCTGTCCCGAGACACCTCCTGCTTAAGCCCCATGTGTTGCCCTTTGACCGCAGTCTTGTGTGTTTCACAGAAACAGCCAGCCTGTTGGCTCAGGACACACATCAATCTCCTGGCCTCATGCCATTTTTCCTCAGTAGTGGAAGCTGCCTATGCTGGCATAAGCCTCGGAAGCAGACCTGGCCGTCAGGTGGTAGGGGACCGTCACACACAGGGCAGTGACGGAGCAGCATGCACACTGGCGTGGCGTGAGAGGATCTGCTGTAGTTGGACAATCCTGGGGAAGCACACCTTTGTGAGGAATGAAGAAGGCACTTTCTGAGCTTCCTCACTCAAGCCCAGTCACGGGAGGGTCCCACGTCTGTATACAGAGGGGAAAAAGGTTGCAACTAGATCCCTCAAGCCCCCTTGCTTTCCCCTGGAGAAGGAAGGGAGGAGTTTCAGGGTGGGATGTATGAGGAATTACAGCTCCAAGTCACACTCTCGGGCTGGGGGGTTGCTCCATGCACACTTCTAGACCCCAGACAGCGTTGTGAGCCTGGCCCCCATGGATGCTACTCAGCCAGCAAGGAAACACCCGCCCACCTGCCTCCGGCTCTGTACTCACCCACACAGAAGACGAGCACCAAGCTCGCCAGCGTCACTGACGAGCCGCTGCTGGCCATGCTAACGAGGAACCGGAAGAAGGGGTAGAGCAGCAGTGATGCCCAGAACAGCCAGTTGACCAGAGCCCAGGGCCGTCGTGGGGGCACCCAGGGCGTCTCTGAGAAGACCCCCGTCCTGTAGTACTCCTCCTGAAAGGCGTCCTGCGGGACAGAAAAAGTGCCTCAGACAACCGTGCTGGGTTCCAGGTACTACCTACCGGGCCTCTGGTAAAGCCCTGTGGGCAGCCGCTGGGGAGTTCCAACGCTAATTTCTCCTTCCTGCTGTCCTGCCTGCGGGAGGGAGGAGTCCCCGTCAGGTCCACCGTGTTCCGGGCACTGAGGCAGCACAGCAGGACAGTGCTTACAGGTTAAAGAGAAGAGAAATGAAAGTCTTCTTTATCTCCGACCACAGACAGCCAAGGATACACTTTCACTCTGGTCTCTCAACCTCCATGTTCCCAGCAGCCTCTCTGCAGCCCTTGAGCTTGGATGACAAAAGCTGGGAATCTCAAAGGTACTGCTCACAGGAGGCGCCGGCACTGCCTTGGGGCAAATTCCCTTGGGTCAAGTCAGGACAGTGATGATTAGGTTCTCCTTGCCCTACTTATATTTTTGGAAGAGAGAAGCTTGTGAAAGACAAGGCCCTCCTCAGAGAAAGCACAACAAGCCAGAGAGCTGGACCAGGCCCTCAGGGATGCATTCTTATTTGGGTCTCACCTCAAAGTGACAGAGGCACCAAATACTTTGCTCAGGAGCAACCAAGACCACATCTGTCACTCTCCCGTAAGGAAATGTGCCTCGTGACAAGTGTAAAAAGCCTGCTGGACCACTATGATATACATCTTATCTTGGTAAACTGTCGAGTGCCATTTACGCTTGTTGAAAGGGGACTCTGAAAACAAGGCGGCTCTCCCTAATCTCCGTGAACTCATTTACTTCAGCTGTCTTCCATAAAGCTGTGACAGCAAGCAGCTAAGAGAATTTAAAACATGGAGCCCTTGAGAACATTTGGAAGGTGGACCATTTCCAGTAAGGGTTACCCTCATTTGCCCCTGGTTTAAATGCCCGGATGGGAAGAGGGAGTCAGGGCCCGTCCATGGACAGAGAGCTCAGCAGGGAACCCCAGCACGATCGTCATCCAGGTGGTTCCTCCTGGATCCTCTAAGTCCCTGACTGAGGATGTCTGCTGTCTGTCAATAAACTCACTCACTCCAAAGTTCAGCTACTGTGCCTTATTCTCTGGACCTCACAGAACAGGCATTCCCTCCTGGTGGTGCACTGCACAAACGCCATAGTTTCACGTTCTGTGAGGCTACCTAGCGATGGATTCTGCAACTTTCTTTTATTGCTTGACACGTAGATCCTCAGGGGAACCAACACCTGGCTCCCAGAAAGTCCACAGCTGCACCCACCTTCTCCTGGTAGAGCTTGTGTAGCCAGGCCGAGCACTTCTCCTCCTCCTCCGGGATGTCCTCCATAGGGATCCTCCTGTCAAAGCAAAGAACAGCTAGCAAGGAGAGCCCCACACTGAGCACCCAATGACAGTTCCGGCTGCGCCGGGAGAGAGGGCAGTCCACCATGACAGTTCCGGCTGTGCCGGGAGAGAGGGCAGTCTATGGGTGGTCATGTGAATCTGATCGACCCCTGTAAGCTCACAGGATGTGACGCTATTAGGAGGTGTGGCCTTGTTGGAGGAAGTGTGTCACTGTAGTGGTGGTGGGCTTTGAGGTCTCATATGCTCAAGCTACGCCCAGTCTCAGTTCACTTCCTGTTGCCTTCGGATCAAAATGTAGAGCTCTCAGCTCCTTCTCCCACACCATGTCTGCCTGCACACCGCCACGTCCCAACCATGACTATAATGGACCAAACCTCTGAGACTGTAAGCCGCCCAATTAAATGTTTTCCTCCCTAAGAATTGCCATGGCATCTCTTCACAGCAGTAGAAATCCTAACTAAGACTGGTAGAAATCCCAAAATGCAGCCATGGCCAAACAGTCAAGTAAGGGTCAAGTCAGTGACTCAGAGATGGTGTCAGGAGTGGGGACCCGCCTTTACCTGCCCAACCCTTGTCTCCCCCAAAGTGGACAGCACCGCCTCGTTTTCTGTGTGGTGCAGAACCCATGCACGGGACAGGACCCTGGTACTCTTTGGCCCAGGATCAACAGGAAAGGCAGGGATAGGCTACCTCAGAGTGGCTCCTTTGGTGTCTGCTGAGGTACACCCACACTAAGGCATATGCTGGAAGCTCAGGCGCCCCCAGCATGTGAGAAGGTAGGGCATCTGGGTAAGTTACTCTGCCCCTGAGTGGCTGCTCATTTCCTGGGTAGCTGTCAGGCCATGACCGGCAAGGGTGGGGACTTATCTGTTAGCAAAAAGCCCACCTTAACAGGGAGAAGCAGCTTCCAGGCCTCCTGCTCTCCGTGCTCCTGGAGCACTGCCTCTTGAAATTTCAAGGGTGTCTGCTTTGGTCCATGCGAAGTGTATTTTTCACGATTTTCCATGGGCACACATTATAACCCAGTGTGCCCAGAAATATCTCAGTGAGGAGAGGCTTCAGAGATTAACCCAGCACGCCATAGAGGTTCAGAGGAGAATCTGGGATGGCATGTTGTCTGTAATCAGTCACCACTGTTAGGCTGACCACCACAGGCTTTGTGGTGGGGCAGTGTTCTCCACTGGTAAATTCGTCCTGTTATTAAAATCCCTACAAGCTCTTTGTGATCTCTGAAGACGGCATTTAGTGACTTAGTACTTAGGAAAAAGCTCCCCTCATCTAAGAAGGAAGCAGGGCCAACTTACCTAATGTAAAAATCAGCATGATATTTCTTTCCATTTAAGACGCCCAGCAGCGTTGGGTTTTCATTGTTTCTGAAATTGAGTGTACAGTCATAGACAGCTGGGACTATAAGACAAGACAAACACAAGGCAGTATATAGCGGGTGAGGCCGGCTCTGCTCAGTAGTCACGCACACTGTAACCCATCTACCAACGGCTCATGGGCTGAGACATCCCTTCCTTGGGCTTTTCCCGGTTGTTCACTTGCTCGACACTGGACAGGTATCATCTTTTGTAACCAGAGAGCCAGCTGTAAGCTAGTCATCACAGTAGCTCCTGTGGCCAAGTGGGCTTTAAAGCAGCGATGTCTACCAGAACTAGATGGACAGCGACAATAATAAGTGACTTTCTAGTGGCCTGAGCAAATGTGGATGTATGGACAGATATGGGAAGAAGATGAACTAGACTCATCTAAGTCCATGTCTGTTACAGAACTCTAACCATTGTTTTTTAAATGTAAAATCTGTGAAAGATTTATTTAACTAGGTGGATGTGTGCATGTAGGTCCATGTGCCCATGAGGCCGGAAGAGGGCGTCAGATCCCTTGCTGATGGATTTACAGGCGGCTGTGAGCCCCTAGGACAGTGATGGGAACCGAGTTCCAGTTACGGCAAGCACAGTAAGCGCACAGCTGAGCCACCTCTCCAGCCCCGGTGTAACCTTTTCTAGGAACATATGCACAACCATTCCGTGCCCTTCCCCGAATGAAGCAGCCACACAGCCAGGGTCTGACGCCTACACCCCGGCACAGAAACTGCTAGGAAGGCCTGTCACACTTAAAGGATGATGTGTCAAGTCCTATCCAGCCCAAGGATGACAGCGAGCCTCTTTCGGAGCCCGAGGACCAGGGGTGTAGGGATGTGAGAGAAAGGCATTACATGGGAGAACAAGAGAACATATTTTACGTTGAAGATGAGGGTTTAAAGAGAAATGGGGAGAGTCGTAGCAGGATGCCACTGCTTTCTCCTGTTTTTAATCTACAGTGGCTTCTTGGGGCTCAGGACTCACGGGGTCAGCTGCCACAACACCCCGGTCAGATCATCTGCAGGTGGTGGAGAGCAACAGACAAGCAAGAAACGCCTCAAAGGCCCTGCAGCTCCATCACCAGGCCATCACGGGACCCAGCACTTTCGGCACGCTCCATGCAGGGAAGCTACTGGCCAGCAGGGGGAGGTATTCACTGAGATGCAGAAATACGAGGGGCCCAGCCAGACTTGCCCCTTGTCACAAGTGCCACCTAGCCCCGAAGACCCCCCTGCTTCGCCATCGTCCTTACCGACATCTCGCAAGCACTTAACGGTGATGGCAAAGCCCCTGGTGCGTGGCAGCAGGTGATGCTTGAGGCTGGGCAGCCCCTTGGCTTGGGCCACCTGCATGCTGATCTGGTGTTTCTTCTCCGTGAACCGTGTGCCCTCACAGTGAATCAGGAACTGGAAGGCAAAGGACACGGTCACCCAGAGGCCACAGTCCCAAAGAGGTTGAACCTTCAGCCCAGGTCAGTCCTAAGGTCACACCCCAGTTCCCTAAGTGACTCCTGAGCGTGGCGGCCCCAGGAGCCAGACGGCACACTGCCCCTGTGCCTGCGTACCAGATAGTTCTCCGGGTACTCCCGGAGGCGCAGCAGGCTCTTGGCGACCGTCTGCCGATCCTGTTCCCACTTGCGTGTGCAGAAGATCATTTCCACAAAGTACCACATCCAGCCAATGATTGGGACATAAGCCAGTTCTTTCTTGGCCAGCACTTTGCAGTTCTGAAAGAGCAAGAACATCAGGGCGTCTGTGAGGGAGACAGAAGTTACTTCATGGCTGTTGGGGATCTTAGGGGTGAGGAGGGACCAAAGGCTGCAAACCAAAACCTTGGTGCTTGGAACCCTTCCCACTGCACTGACCTGACGGTCAAGATCATACTAATCACTCGGGGGTGGACGACTCCATGATCAGGGGGTCTGGAAAAGTACCAGCTACCAGCTGAGGGTGGAGAGGCTTGAGAACGCTCTGCAGACCACAGGCCCCCTAGGTTTTGTTGACATCTGTTGTGCTCACCAAGCCCATCTGAAGCTCTGCCTGGCAAGTCTGTATTACAGTCAACCCATCAGCGACTGAGTTCTGCAGGCAAGGCCAGCGAGACCAGCGAGTAGAGGTCAGCAGTTAGAGAAGCCCCATAGCTATCATGAAAGCCAACCTGGATCATATGTCCGCCTGCTTCCTCCTCCTAAACCCCACCGTGTGTGTGTGTGTGTGTGTGTGATCATATGTCCGCCTGCTTCCTCCTCCTAACCCCCCACCGTGTGTGTGTGTGTGTGTGTGTGTGTGTGTGTGCATGTGCACGCGTGTGTGCCTGCCATGGCACACACAGGTAGAGGCCAGAGGACAACCTCAGACATCAGCCCTTGTCTTCTGCCTGTTGGGATACAGTCGTCTCCACGTTACTTGCTGATTACTCCAGGACAGCTGGCCCACACCCGTCTAGGGATTCTCCCATCTCCACTGCTCACTTCCCTGTAGGAGCCTTGGGATTACAGACACTCGCACTATGTGTCTGATGTTCAGGGGACCCAAACAAGCACTTTCCCCGCTCAGCTCCCCTCCCACCATCACCCCTCAGTTTGGAATTGACTGAGATGGTGCCCAAGTTGGCAGCATGGACAGCTGAAGCAGCTGTCTGGTCCTGGCCCCAAGCTTTGGCTGCCTAGAGGGGAGGGCACACGCCTCCCACAGCCCCTCTTCATGTCTTCCCCTCAGCTTCCTCATCCTATCAGCATCTGTACCCTGCTTTGGGACCCTCAGGCTGGCTTCTAAAAAGGACTCACCTACATCTACGCCCAGCTTCTCTTCTCAGCACAGAGCGACCTTGGGGTCTCAGAAGGGGAAACAAACTGCCTGTCACCTTGGAAGCCAAACTGTCTTTGGGGTCACAATTCTCCCTGGGAGCCCACTGCCCCGTGTCCACACTAGATTTCAGACCCTGGAGTTCCCCTAGCTCCTGTCTGCGACGGGGAGGGACATTCCCTCTGGCTCTCACCTTCTCTTGTTTCTGTCACCTCCCGACCAAAGATTTCTATAACGAGAGCTAACGGAACCAAACTAATGGTTCCACTGACTGACTAAGCTCATCTTTCTGGAAGTTAAAAACTATTTTAAGATTCGGTGTACTGTATCTTGCAGACATTACATGTGACAGTGCTCAGGAATTACAGGATGACCCACACTGCCGCCCACAGAGAAGCTACTGGCTCGGCTGGGTGGTCAGTCTCTCCCAGCCAACCATGGCTGTGTTCTCAGGTGCACTTCCTATTCCTGGTTCTCCTAAGAGACTCAAGTGTGTTTGAGCATTTGGCCTTTGGCAAATGGTGGCGAAAGCTGCCTGGTGGGTTGTGGGGATCTAGGGGCTTCAACTAGAGGGGGTGACTCGAGGGTCTGTATTCCCATCACTGCCTTACATCACCAAGGGCCACTTTACTGTCCCACAGTGAAAGCACTGACCACGGCGTATACTACACCGCATCAGACGGTATATAATGGTGTAGGTGAGTCTGCACACCAAGGACCACTCTTCTGCTGCCCACTGGTGCAGCCATGGCTGAATAGACATCATAAAGACGATGCAGTCCACACGGCTGAAAATGCTCACTCCCTGGCCTGCCAATTACAAGTCAAAGTGCCATCCCTTAACTTACAGCAAACCCTATAAAATTCCCCTGTTGCCCTAAGTAGGAGATGGATAGATGAGATTCGGGGACATGATGCTACTAACCTCTTTCACAAGCTAACTCATTTGCGACTGGAAACTATTATGAAAGTAAGACGTAAACCTGTCTAGGGAAGCCTAACATTTATATAGGGTAACCCACAGCCACCAGGTGCTGAAGCGTCTACCTTGGCCAGTTTTTAGGTCACAGTCCATCCTACAATGGAAATTTCAGGAATTTTCTGGTGTTGGGAAGAGAAGGGGATGAGAAAGCTAGAGGTGTTACTGGGTCAGAAGAGATGAGCATATAACTACCATGGGTGCCCCACCCAGCCAGGGAGGATACCACCCATCTCTCAGAGCCAGAAGTTAGCACCTCCAACTTAGACAGCACAGCATATGACCAGATGGGCATAGAAAAGGCTGTTTCTTTGCCCAGTGGAAGATTCACACTAGGGCCTGGCAGGAACCTGTTCAGGACTGAGGTCAGTCTGCAGGAGGGCTCCTGGTCAAGGCTGTGCTGGGATTAATACCTTCCTAGCTTCCAAACACAAAAGCACTCCTGGAGGTTTAATCAGTTATTCCTTTGGGCTTGTCTAGGCATGGTTGTTATTTCTGCTAAATATGTAAAAGTTAGAGCTGCAAGATAATGGCTCAGTGGGAACAGGTTAGAGCACCCAGACCCACGGAAAAGGAGAGGACAGAACCCTGTACTGCCCTCTGACCTCCACACATACAAAATAAATAGATGCAATTAAAATGTTCTAGCTACTGAAGTTCAGTGGTGTCACCCATCATCTTGTTCTTAAATAAAGTTGCTATTTAAAAACAAATGAGGTCACTGCAGTGAAATTTTGAAATAGGTGAGATGTTTGTTAAAAAGCAAGCAGGCCAAAGGACCACACTTCTAGCATGTTCCTTGCATACAAGTAGCAAACACCAAAGTCTGATGGGGGGCTTACCACAAAGTCAGGCCCAGCCTGATCTCAGCAGATGATGAGGAAGCCAACCAGCGCTCAGCCTCAGCGCCCCCTGGTGGCGTGAGAGTTCATCTCCTGGATTCTAACCTCAAACTGACCAAACAGTCCATACACGTGAGATCTAGCAAGAATCCCCTTTAGGCCAGGCAGGGTGCCGGTGCTGGGGACACAAAGATAGATGGATCTGTGACCTTGAGGTAGGCAAGCAATGGTAGCACAGTGGAGAATGGCTTAGTAGTGTCCCCTGTGCACGGAGGGCAGTGCTCAGAATGCTGAACTGAGCGGGTGTGGCCGCGGGACTCAAAGTGAGAGACTCTATTAGGTGGTGCTAGCCCTGCTCACACACAGGAGTTTCCTACCAGGAAGTCTCCAAACAAAACGAACCCTGTTCCACGATTACGCATAGCCACAGGGGGAAATGCCCAGGCCAGGCTCGAAACAGAAGCACTCTAAGAATTCGTCTCTCTTGGGCTGGAAAATATCCGTGTGTCCTTTATCAAAATCAAGCCCGGTGTGCAAGGTCCTTCAGCCCTGAACAGAAGCCCCCCCCCAACCCAGCCACTTCCCTCCCCTTGGCAAGCCTCAGGCTTTTCTAGACAAAGTGTAGGGGGAGGGGACTGGTGTTTGGTGGCAAAGAAGAAGTGCCCCGAGACCAGCAAGGGTGTGTTTTCACCCAGGCTCCTCTCTGAGGAGCTGTGGTGGCCCAAACAACAGAGGAAAGGACTTCCTGCACCAACCACTGTCCCCACCCCCCTCTTGTCACCTCAACCTGTCACCCCCACCCTTTACTGTTTTGAAAGGCTGGCCTGGTTGCTTCCAGAATCGCCTTAGGCCAGAGCATGTGGGAAGTAAGCAGGAGGTGTTACTCAGAGGGGGGGGGGCTGGAGGGGCAGGGCAGACAGGTGAGACTCCTTGCAGGCAGGAGATAATGGGACGCCCTGTTCTGGCAGGAGGCGTGGCCAACTGAAAGAGTTCCAGCGGCAGGTGTGTGAGCCAGTGTGTGAGCAGGGAGGGCCAGAACAGATGGGGGCGGGTAATTAGTGGGGAGCAGATCTGTTCAGAGCAGATGTCACTGGTTGGGGCTGTTTGTACAAGAGGGAGGTGGCTGTGGCCAGCCCTGCTGTCAGGCAGCCTCATCTCTTGGCTCACTCCTGGCCAGCACAGGCAAAGGTAAGTGGCCTGCCGAGGAAGGGCCACACCTAGCTTAGGACTGTGCTTTAGGACTGGTTCAGGTGGGCATTCAAAGAGGCCATACCTCTGTGAGCTGCCTGGGACTTTTCTCTACCCAGGATTCACCTGGTCACCCCCTGGCTCCTGGCTCAGGGCCTAAGGTTCACACCTGTCCACTCAGTCAGTCAAAATCTGCAGTTAGGGTGCCAATTAACCTTGGCTGAGATGCAAAGAATGAATTATTAGGGCCCATTTTCAATATGAGGTGCTCTCAGAGTCCTTCAGAGAGTCAAAGACAAGCAGGAGGTTCTAGGCCCCTCCCCCCTAGCTGGCCGCTGGTGGGCAGACTCAGAGCTTCCAGAGCTGGGAAGTTGCAGGCCATCTGTCTGCTTCATGACTGAGCCCGCCATCAGAAGAGGGGACAGTCTCAAGCCCCAGATGATAATTAGCTAGGAGTGAGAATCCTGAACCAATAGAGTAGGGAATGGCTGTGCTAGAGGCCTCAGCCTCAGACTCAGGAGCTCCAGCCCGTAGGAGAAAGAGGCTGGTTTGGACGCTCACCCCATATCATCTCTCCACTCAAACAGCATCACTACCATCCAGACCCAGGTCATCCCATGATGACTTGAGCGCTCAAGTTGGAGGCTGGGGTGAGGAGGGGCCTAATGTACACTTACCTCTGCTGTAGTGGGGAAGCCTCAGACATCACACCCAGGCTACCATGGTCCCTGGACACCACTGACACGATGGGTATACCATTTACAATTTCTCTTCTCAAGCGCTCATTCTCTCACGTTCCGTCATGGGTCCCTTCACCTAGACCTCTTGTCCCTTCCTAGAGTCACACCCAGTCTTTCCAGGCTTCCCTTTGAAAGTCCCCAGGAGGCTCCTAAACATCCAGATGCTAGGCTACTTAAAAAAGTTTGGTTTATCCCCACAGGCGGGTTAAGAGTTATCACTCTTCTCAGGACACAAAGGGTTAACAGCCACAGCCCAGAGTGGCTTCTTATACACACTCACACCTAATAGCATCCCAGAACTGAGGGGGAGTGGATCAAAGGTCCCATCCCTAATCAGAAGCCATGTACAATTGATCCCTACTGGAAAGGGGAGTGTCACAGGGCACATCAACCACACTCCAGGACAGGCCCTGTGGCCAGGAGTAGCTGGCCAACACAAAATGGACTTCATGGTGGTTTTGGTGGGCTTTTTGTTTCATTTTGTTGTTGTCGTCTTGCTAGTTCTTTGATTTCCGTGCGTGCACACGTGTGTATGTATGTGTGTGTGTCTGTGTGTGTGTCTGTGTGTGAAGAGAACATAAAGTTGGATGGGTAGGGAGGTGGGGAGGAGTTGGGAGAGGGGGAAAAACATGACCAAAATATATTGTATGAAAAAAATCAATAAATTAAAAACAAACTCTAACCTCCTTGCAAGCCATGCTGCCCTGCATCACCTGGCTGATAGTTACCAAGAGGAAGAAGTGGGAGAGGGTCTCAAACAAAGCATCGGGGTGTGGTGGGCGGCCTATGAGATGGTCCCATCATCCAGAGGTTTCTCTAGGTGTGGCTGGGCTCCAAGTTCACCCCTAACGACTGAAATCTGATAGAAGATTCCATCACACACGCTGTGACTTCTGCCCTGGGTACCTGCTTGCTTCTGCTCTCTTTGGCAGCCCTTGAAGAGGCTACCCTGTCCAGGGAACCCTTGGAGAAGAGGCTACCCTGACCAGGGAACCCTTGGAGAAGAGGCTACCCTGACCAGGGAACCCTTGGAGAAGAGGCTACCCTGTCCAGGGAACCCTTGGAGAAGAGGCTACCCTGACCAGGGAACCCTTGGAGAAGAGGCTACCCTGACCAGGGAATCTTTGGAGAAGAGGTTACCCTGACCAGGGAACCCTTGGAGAAGAGGCTACCCTGTCCAGGGAACCCTTGGAGAAGAGACTACCCTGTCCAGGGAAACCTTGGAGAAGAGGCTACCCTGACCAGGGAAACCTTGGAGGCTAGCCAGTACATGCCAGACTTTGAGATGAGACCGTCACTCTGGCAATCACCTGACCACAGTCTTGTTCGCTCTCTTCTGGAAGCTCAGCTGGCTGGTTCCTGACTCCCCAGCAATGCAGGCAGTCACTAATCTGCATGCCTCTACTTTAACCTGCTTACTCCAGAGACCACACACTGCCACAGCCGATTAAGACACATAGCTTCATTAGGGATCTGAAGCAAAATGTCCCAGCTGGCCTCAGAGTTAGCCTGCACGCTGAAGCCTGGGGGGCAGATGAGCTCTGGTAATAGCTGCAGGGTAGCACATCATGAATGGAGTTCTCAGCCTGGCACTCTCGAGAGACTGTACAATTGTGACCTTGACACCATCTGGGTTCACTGAGGCAAAGGGAGAGCAAACAGGACCAGAAGCTTTAGGTTCACTGATTGGTGGGACACTCCCTAACTATCTCCAGGTTACACTTGGTCCTAAGAGGAAAAGGTCAGCCTGTGTCTGAATAGCTCATCATGACCTTTGGAGCCCTGCCGCTATCCAGCAATGATAGCCCAGCCTTAGGGGACCTCAGCCTCCAGGGCAGGGTGCTGGGCTGGCCTTGCCCACCCAGGTGGGGGCTTGGTGTTTTCAAAAGGCCAAACCAGTTTCTAAAGAAAATCCTATCCCTTGTCCTTCATAGTCAAAGTCAAAAATTCCTGTAAATTACATTTATTTTAAACTCATTCCCTCCTAGGCTATTCCAGGTGATGATTAAAAAAAAATGCCAGTCGGGATTGATATGATATCTATCTATCAATCATCTCCCTCTATCACTCTATCCCTCAATCCCTCCTCTTAAAATAAGCAATTTCCTCAAAGGTTCTCAATACCATGTTATACAAGGAGGGGCAGAAAGATGGATAAGGTGTTGTTGTTTCCAGAGGTCATTGAAGACAAAAGAGTCTGGAGGGTCAATCAATTTAACCAGATACTTTCCCCTGTCCTTTTAACGCAGTGGGGATCGTGGGTCGCTCTGGGAGGAGGGCAGGCACCTCAGCCAGCATTTCATCGGCCGCAGCGCCTCTAAGGGTCAGCAAAGTAGTCTCTGCTCATGGCAGTGCTCAGTCCAGCAGTAGCTACCTGTGAAAGTAGCCACGCCCATCCTCCCTCCGCACTTCCTCCTCTTCCTCTCCTCTCCCCCTCCCATCTTCTTTCTCCTCCTCTTCCTCCTTTTCTCCCAGAGCCCAGCACATCCTGCAGTGATGACACACCCTGCTTCTCTGGTGACAGGGGAGAACTAGCAAGTGACTCACCTCTCCCTCGCTTCTCTGGGGAAGGCCAGAGCCGGGGAGGTACTGCAGGGCAAACCTGCCTCCCAGCCTGCAGACTATGGTGTGACACTGCCCGAGTGCGCGCACACACACACACACTCACACACACCCCAAAGAGTCACTGAAGAATAAATGCAAAAACGAGAGAGAGATGCTGTTGACAGGAGGCTCTTCACCTCCCGGAAGGAGGCAGACCTACAAGTCCTCTGACCCCTCCCATACTCCCTGGTCACAGCTCAGGATTCTAAACATGACGGATTGTGTTCATGTGCTACCAAAGCGAGTGTACCCTAAGCAGGCCACCTGCCTATCTGTGGGACCATCGTTGCAAATGCAAAAACTTCACCTCCAAGGTCTTATAAAAACTTCTGGTGCCCTTTCCACCCTGAGGTCAAAACCACATTTGTTTCCATTGCAATATCTGAAGGCGGTTGATGAACTTGAGTCATTAATGTGCTACAGACTCAAGCATGACACGCCGCTATTGTGTTAAAGGTGACCAAAGCCAGCAGAAGACGCCCAGTGAGAGCAAGGAAGCTGCAAACAAGAAGTCAAACTAATTCGAGGGAAACATTAGGAATAATTCCAAATCCTGCTATTGCCATTTAGAGACTCACCGTTCTTAAGCCGGGAGCAATTTACAATCAGGTGAATTCTGCCCTGTGAGCTGAGCAACTAAGAATAGGAATGGGGAAACAAACTAGACAAGCTCGAGTTCAAATCCAGTTACAGCTGGGTGGTCCCGAGCAGCTTAGAGAAGTGCTCTCTCTCTCTCTCTCTCTCTCTCTCTCTCTCTCTCTCTCTCTCTCTCTCTCTCTCTCACTCTCTCACTCTCTCTCACTCTCTCTCACTCTCTCGCTCTCTCGCTCTCTCTCTCGCTCTCTCTCTCTCTCTCTCACTCACTCTCTCACTCTCTCTCACTCTCTCTCACTCTCTCGCTCTCTCTCACTCTCTCGCTCTCTCTCTCGCTCTCGCTCTCTCTCACTCTCTCTCTCGCTCTCTCTCAGTCTCTCTCGCTCTCTCTCTCGCTCTCTCACTCTCTCTCGCTCGCTCTCTCTCTCGCTCGCTCTTTCTCTCTCGCTCTCTCTCTCTCTCTCGCTCTCTCTCTCACTCTCTCTCTCACTCTCTCTCTCTCTCTCTCTCTCGCTCTCTCTCTCGCTCTCTCTCTCTCTCTCTTGCTCTCTCGCTCTCTCTCGCGCTCTCTCTCTCTCTCGTGCTTTTGAACGGTGGTGTATATCCACTCATAAATGCTTCTATAAGGATTAAGAAATTCACAGTAAAGCTTATGTGGCGTGTGGTGCAGTTGGGTACCTCCTGCTATTGCTCACGACCCTGAGTCTAAGGCAGAAGCACAAACATCATGGTGGTCAGTACTGTCAAGCTGGCTGGATCTAGACGCACCTGTGAGTCCTGCCTGGATTAGATTAACTGAGGTAGGATGAGCCACCGTTGCTGTGGGTAGCATCGTGACTGTGGGTAGCACCGTCCCATGGCCCAGGGCCCTGGGATGAGTTAGAGGGTAAAACTAATGAAGAAGCTAAGCACAAGCCTTCACCTTTCTGCTTCTTGACTGCAGAGGAAATGCAACTGACCGGCTGCCTTGAGCTCGGGCTGCCAGCCCCCTCCACCAGAATGGACGATGACTTTAAACTGGACCTTTACTTCCCCAGGATACTCTCGTCAATATTTTGTCACAGCATGGAAAAAAAAACTAACCAATATAAACATCTTTTGAGAACATTTTATACTATAAAAACCCATAATCGCAATCAAATAAAAAATAAAAACACCTTGCCAAAGCTGGCCATGGTAGCTCATACCTCTAATCCCACCTCTCTGGGAGGCTGAGGACAAGTTCGAGAACAGCCTGGCCTCCATAGCAAGGTCCTATGCCCCCTATATAAAAGCAGCAACAAATCCGACTCAAACAATAGCGTGAAGGGTGAAGACATAGCCCACTTACCCCCAGGATCCCAAAGCGCTCGGCCAGGCTCCAGCCACAGAGAAAGTCAATCTCAAACTTATGATTGAGAACAATGATGGCGTTTTCCTTCCCATAGTAGGGTAAGGACTTTGGGTCGGTGTACATGGTGCACTCGGTGCCTGACCACCACTCCAGAAGCATCACCAATTCTGCAACAAACCACAAGGACACACACATTTATTTCACCGTCCTGGGGGTCCTGGGTCTGCTTTCCTTGCCCGTGCTATAAGACAAAGCTGCTTCTTACGCTAAAGTTGCAGAGCGTTTCAGCCAGGACCCAGATGTTGAAAGGGTTTCAAAGCAGAAGGGTTATAAATAAGCAAGACCCTACGACAGTCTTCAGAGAAGGAGAGGAAACTTCCGGGTAGCATTTACACCTCTTGACGGACTTAACTCGGAAACAGTTATCAGGTCTGGATCCACCCACACCCACGTCCTTGTTCTGACAGCATTGTGGGAACACCAGACCTTGAGCAGAGACCCACTTCCCCTTCTGCCTGGGAGTAGGCAGCTGTAAGACAATGTTTAGTAAAAACATGTTTACTAAAAACGATACAATAAGTTCCTGGCCACTTCCCCTTCTGCCTGGGAGTAGGCAGCTATAAGACAATGTTTAGTAAAAACCTGTTTACTAAAAATGATACAATAAGTTCCTGGGAAAGGCCTTCCCACGGAAACCGCCCTGACCTCGACCTTGTCCAGAGACTAACCGCACCTTCAAAAACCCACACACATCCACCTCTGGGGTCAGAGCAGAACCAGCCAGGGGAGAGGAGAGAGCAGAGGCTTCTCTGGTGGGAGCCTTTCTTAGGAAGTTTTTCTTGAACCTTTTTGGAGCCTGTTTAAAGTTTTCTTTATATCATTGAACGAGTCTCTGTGTTATCAATACCCGACACCCTCCGCACGTTCTCGGACACAGGCCGCGCAGCAGACGTGACAATTGGAGGTCCCACCGAGATCGTGAAAGCGAGGTAAGTGGACGGGGTTAAGAAACTATGGGGAATAGTTCCGGGAAGCTAGAATCATTGCAGTATCAACTAAAAAAGTTACTTAAAGAACATGGGACTGCAGTCAAGTCTAAAACCCTAGAAGGCTTTCTAAAATCAATCGAACGAGCCAGTCCATGGTTCATTACTGGGGGAAGCTTAAATATTCCAGATTGGGAGGAGGTTCGCCGTGATCTTCATAGACTTTTACGAAAAGAGGGATCTGAGTCCTTGCCCCCTACGACATTCTCCTTATGGAGATTAGTGAGGGGAGCACTTTTGACAGATAAGGTTCGTCACCGCCAGGTAGTTCAGGACACAAAAGAGGCTTTTTTAGAGTTACAAGAGACTGAGACTCAAGCCTCCTTGAGTTCAGGGGCAGAGAGTGATGATGAAGAGACCGTGATTGAAACTAGAGGCTCCATTGTTAGTGAGGATGAGGAGGAGTCTCTTAGTAACAACAAAAAAACGGGTAGACATCTCCGGGCGTGACCCAAAAGAAGGACTCCGGTCAGAATCGGTTATATCCTTCTCTATCAGACCTAGAAAATGGAAGTAGCTCAGACTCAGACTCGTCACAGTCTGAAAAGGAACGGTTACTTGCTGAGATCGCGGCCCTTAAAAAGAACTAAAAAAGATTCTAATTAAGGAAAGACAGGACAGGGAGAGAAACCCTTCCCCATACTCTGAAAAAAGGGACTCCTCCTATGAGATAACCCAGTCCTTCTTGGACCTGGAGGGAAGACCCAGAGGAGGGGTCCAATGCTGCCAGGTGGTGGCCCCAGTAATGGAAGTTCCAGATCCGAACAATTCTCGACAGGTCATTCGGCGCCATGACCCTTTAAGTTTCAAAGATATAAAACAACTGAAAGAGGCAACTTTAAATTATGGAGCACAGGCTCCCTTTACACTTTCCTTAATGGAATCTTTTGCGTCTCTTAATTTGACACCTGGCGATTGGCAGCAGCTTTGCAGAGCAGCTCTGTCGGGGGGAGATTATTTGATTTGGAGAGGTGAGTTTCAGGAAAGATGCAGCCAGACAGCCCAAAGGAATGCACAGGCCGGACAGCCCCAGAGAAATGTGGAGATGCTTACCGGGAGTGGTCAATATGCCACCATTCAGCAACAAATGCAATATGACATCGCAGTCTATGCCCAAGTGGCAGCAGCGGCCCAAGGAGCTTGGAAAGCATTGCCTTCCAAGGAAGGAGGAGATCATCTGTCCAAAGTCCTTCAAGGACCTTCCGAACCTTTTCAAGACTTCGTAGACCGTCTCAGTCAGGTAGCAGAAAGAATATTTGGGGGCATTGGGCCTGCGATGCCAGTCATAAAGCAGATGGCATTTGAAAATGCAAATAAATATTGTAAGGAAGCCCTTCGCCCCTATCGCAATAAAAGTCTAAATGACTATATCCGGATCTGTAGGGACATTGATGGGAACTTCATCCAGGGCCAAGTGTTAGCTGCTGCTATTCGGCCCCAAGTGGGGAAAGAAAGACCTACTCTGGGAGGGAGAAAAACATGTTTTAGCTGCGGTAGGGAGGGACACTTCCGTAGAGAGTGCCCTCAAAATAGTACTACGGGTCTCAAGAGACCTGGTTTATGCCCCCGTTGCCGAAGGGGATATCATTGGGCCAAAGACTGCTACTCTAAAACTGACTGGGAGGGAAATTTCCTTTCTGCTAATAATAATCAGGGAAACGGGAGGAGGGCCCCGCCCCAGGGCCCCAAAACCAATGTGTACGGGGCAATGACCCCTGCTCTGGGCAGTGGCAGGACTCATTTTCTCCCCAGAGCAACCCCTTCATATCTCAGACCTCCTTAGAGCCACCTCGGGAGTGCAGGATTGGACCTCGCTCCCTCCGCCCAGGCAATCCTAACACCAGAAATGGGGATCCAGGCCCTCCCTACTGGGGTGCATGGGCCATTGCCCCCAGGCACGGTCGGACTACTCTTGGGACGGTCCAGTACTATTCTTCGAGGCCAGGCTGGACTGACAGCCTCAAACAATACAGAGAAACCCTGACTCAAAAAAAATTTTTTTGGTAACAGTAAAGAGGTACTGGTATTAAGTAAAGAAAAAAAAAAAAGGACAAAGGTACATGGAATAAAAAATTTTGTTTACATTTAAGTTCTATTTTGTGAGTCATCTCTAAAAACTTTTGGCCAAAAGCCTGGCCTCTCTACCTTGCATCTACAGAGTTACAAGGAGTAGGTACGGCTGTACCCCATGACTGTAGCTCAAATGGAGGAATGATAAAAACATATAGGACTTTTTAACCTTTTTAGTTCAAGGATTGGCTGGAGTTGTTCTTTTACATAGATTTCAATTAAGGAAGCTTCATTGCAACAGACTAATCATGACCTAGGGAAAAAGGATGACTGAAAGATGCATGTATGTTCTGAATGTATGGTGTGGCCACACCGGTATGTATGAAATGTGATTGCGAATGTGTGAGTGTGAACTGCTTATATGATTAAAAGGATACTTAAATCCCTTCAAAAATAGTTAAGAAGCTACCTAGATTGCGTTAAATATAGCCAAAAGGAACATCCAGCCAGTCTGTTAATGTTTTAACAGAAAAATTTAAGATACAAATGAGGCCTTGTCAGCTAGTGAGAGTTCTACAGGTTAGATTGGGAAAGACTGCTCACAGACTTCAAATAATTTTCAAAAGTTATTTAGTAAGCCCAATTTACCTAGATAGTTAACCAAGGAGGGTAGACAAATCCTTCTACTGTTATGGTCCAGCTTCAACAGTTCAAAAAAGAAAACTTTTTTAGAAAATAAAAAAGGGGGAATAATGCCCCCAGTCCCCACATGACTCATCAAATAATACACTCCTCATTTAAAAATTTTATAATGTGAATGCCAGTGAGCTTCAGACAGATTCTGGCATGATGGAACTTGAGCAACGATTGCTCAGGTCAAATGGAGACATCCATGCACTAGACAGTGGAGAAGACCCTAATTTGGGGTCGAGGGCATGTTTGTGTTTTCTTGTAGGAAAAGAATAAAGCTTCGGCAGCTGTCAGACCAATTAGTGAGATGCATGGAGCAGAGAAAAACTGGACCTGAGACCATGGGAGCCTACCTAAGCCAGTTTGAGTGAGATCTCCTAAATCAGTGTTCCTGACCCTTGATGTCATCGAATCTACAGCCCAAGAAAGAAAGAAAACAGTCAGTTCGAGATTTCCAGTTTCTCAACAGACCTGCTGCATTAACCTTCCGGACCCGTGAGTTTTCATCCCGAAGCCAACAAAGAACTGGAAAGACTAACTGTCTGCCTTTGACACACCTTGAAACAACAGAATTCATTTTGCCAGTTTTCCCTTTAGGGGAAAAAAGGACCCATTTAAAATATTTGGACATTGATATGGACTATGAGTGGCAAAAGCCTCTTTTCAGTATTTGAACAGGACATGGTCACTTGAAATACCAGACTTGATGGTTCCTATTTCTGGAATCACGACTAGGCCAGTGTATTTTTCTGGAGAAATGCAACTTGTCCTAATGCGACAACTATTGTTCATATTTTTCGTAATGCTACATGTGTAACATCAATGATTGTACCTAATGTATCTGTGCAAGTGCACTTTCTAAATGCTTTCCTGAGCAGATCTTAAAACGATTGGAAACTTTATCAAATTGTAAATGTAAATCACATGCGGGTTACCCTTGTAACAGACGAAGGCTGGTAGAATGTTATGGCCCAGATCTGGTGATGGGTATGGTGATGGAGAGGCGCTATGTCAATGGAGGTCCTGGAAATGGTGGCAGTGGCAGTAGGCATTCTGGCTTTATGCCGAGCTCAAACGTGCCTTGTTCCAGAGACAAGAGATCCGTAACCAAGTATTGCTTAGCTTAGCCCATGGCAATCCCAATAGCCATGAAGGTTGGTTACAGATGATTTAAGGTTGGGGTATCTCCGATGACGGGCAACCTGTGGGGAAGACCCCTCCCACCTAAAACAGGGGTTCAAGGTCCCCCAAAGACGGGAAAGGGAGGGTGACCCTACTTGACCTAAGCCAGGAGTGCCTCATTTGAAAATAAAAAGGGGTGAATTGTGGGAACACCAGACCTTGAGCAGAGACCCACTTCCCCTTCTGCCTGGGAGTAGGCAGCTGTAAGACAATGTTTAGTAAAAACATGTTTACTAAAA